TGAGCCTTCTTACAAGACCCATTGTAAGCGGCCACGTCTCGGTTCCGTATGTCATCACTGGCAACACGCACGAATTGAAGACTTTCGTCTTGAGGCACTGCGGTAGATGTTCCGAGAAGATGCTACGTAGCTTCCCGAACGCTGCCCAGCCGAGTTGGATTCGTCGATTAACCTCTTTCTGGAAGTTGGACTTACCCAGTTGGACTATTTGTCCCAGGTATACGTACTGGTCAACAACTTCCAGTGTAGAGCTCCCAACAGTCACTGGAGTGGGTACGACATGGGAATTTGACATGATTTTCGTCTTGTCCATGTTCATTTTGAGACCCACTTGTTGGGACACCCTACTGAGGTCGCCGAGCATTGTGCCAAGGTCATCCATGGTCTCAGCCATGACTACGATATCATCTGCAAATCGAAGGTGCGTCATGTACTCGCCGTTTATGTTGATGCCAAGTCCGCTCCAGTCCAAAAGTTTGAAAACGTCTTCCAGCGCAGCTGTAAACAGTTTCGGTGATATAACGTCACCCTGTCTTACACCACGCTGCAGCTGGATTGGCTTCGTGTTTTGGTCCTGGAGTCGAACTGACATAGTGGCGTTTTCATACAACGACTGCAACACTTCGATGTATCGATAGTCTATTTGGCACCTTTGGAGTGACCGAAGCACGGCCCATGTCTCGATCGAATCGAAGGCTTTCTCGTAGTCCACAAACGCCAAGCATAATGGCAGGTTATACTCTTCGGTCTTCTGTATAACCTGCCGCAGCGTATGGATGTGGTCTACGGTACTAAACCCTTTTCGGAATCCGGCTTGTTCGGGAGGCTGGAAGTCGTCAAACCTGCGCGCGAGACGATTCGTGAGGACTCTCGAAAACAACTTGTATACATGACTCAGGAGCGTGATGGGTCTGTAATTCTTCAATTGGGCCCTGTCGCCCTTCTTGAAGAAAAGCGCCACCACTCCCCTATGCCATGCGCTAGGCGTTTTGCCCTCGAGTATGACAGAGTTAAATAGCTTCTGAAGAGATTTCAAGACTGGTCGTCCACCTGCTTTCAGAAGCTCGGCTGTAACTCCGTCATCACCCGGCGCCTTTTTGTTTTTGAGCTGTTTCAGAGCTACACTAATCTCGTACAGGCTGACGTCCGGGATATCTTCGGTGTAGTGTCGGGTTAATTTGGCTCTTGGGTCGGTCGCCTTTGTGACAGGTACTCGTGATGTCGCGTATAGCTGTCCGTAGAAGCTTTCGATCTCAGCCATAAGCTCAGGTTGCGACGAAATGATTCTGCCGTCCTCTGTCTTCAGCTTCGTCAGCAAACTCTGTCCAAGAGACAGATTTCTTGCGAACACTTTCGAGCCTTTGTTCCGCTCGATGGCCTCTTTAATACGATCAGTATTAAAGCGGCGTATGTCGCGAGTCAGAGACTTCGAAATCTGCCTATTGAGCTGCCGACGTGCATCTTCAGAGGACTGCAGACCCATCTCACGCCTTTTCTCCATGAGCTTGAGAGTCGGCTCCGAGATCTTGCTACGTTTTTTGGTACGGATGGGCTTGCAGAACTTCGAGCCCACCGTAAGGACAGCTTCAACAAACCTGTCATTATAATTGTCCACGTCTACGCAACTCTCTAGGCAATCGAAGCGATTTTGCAGTTCGAGTTGAAAGCGCTCGGGGTTTTGGATCTGGATGGCTTCAGGACGGAGCGTGGACTTCATCAGTCGATTCCTTTCGGCTTTGACATTTAGATTCAATGTGCCTCTTACCATTCGGTGATCGCTTCCCGTATTGAACGAATTGATCACTGAGACATCATTGAATATCCGAGTCTTAGTCGACATGATGAAGTCAATCTCATTTTTTGTCACACCATCCGGACTTTTCCAGGTCCATTTTCGATGCAGCCGTTTTCTAAAGAAGGAGTTCATCATAAAGAGTCCCTCCTTCTCCATGTAATCGGCTAGCATTTGACCTCGGAAGTTCCGGATTCCAACTCCAAATTGCCCCACTTTCAACTCATCATCGCCACGTTTGCCCAGCCTTGCGTTGAAATCCCCATGACAACGGTGTAATGGGTCCTAGAAGCATGCATTGCCCGAGAAATATCCTCATACATGACTTCCACTTCCTCGTCGGGGTGCGTCGAGGTCGGAGCGTATACCTGTATGACCTTCAACGAATACCGTTTGGTGATTCTGAGTATAAGGTACGCCACCCTATTCGACACACTACCGATCTGTACAACATTGTTCACGAGAAACTTGTGGACAACAAACCCGACACCACCCTGGGACAGATCTTCGCCCTCCCGGAAATAGAGCAGGTTGCCGACCATTTAAGGACCATCGTGTCCTCGCCCTCTCTTCGGACTTCAGATAGTCCTACAATACTCCAGCGAATCCTGCTCAATTCTTCCTCCAGTTCCAGCAGCTTCTCCTCGGTCCGCAGTGTGCGTGCGTTGTACGTTGCCAGGGCCAAGGTCGTTTGACGGGGGATTTTTGCCGCCCGGGGATTCTTCGCACCCCTGGTCCCGGTGCCGAGTCGGCGTCCGTCAGCGCCGCCACGGACTCCAGCACCGCCGGGCACTTGGGGCCTCTCATTATGTACCGTCATTTTAGGGGGGTTTTGGGCCGTCTCCCACCACGCTGGCCCAGTGCGGGTTGGTGGGGAGCGCCAGAGCCTCGTCCGTTGGTCGGCAGGGTACACCGCGGGCAGGTGAGGTTGGCTTGGGTGCCGTTGGGTGTTAGGCGGCACCCCTTATACCCCCCTTTAAAAGTTCTTTAAAAAAATCCACGACAGCATATGCCCATTTTTAAGTTTGGCTCACTATAACCTTTTTCCTCTAAGTAACGCGGGTGAAACCGCAGGAGACCTTTAGTTGTGACATAACTGTAATAGTTAGACATATGGTATCGTGGACTTTTTTGTAGATATTGAGGTCCTCTTTAAAATTTGATCTACTGTCAATGACTTCCGCAGCGATATAAGGTTATTTTTGGTATGTTTTTCACACCTTGGGTTACGTTATCGAACTTTCCATATGGAACTCTAACTTTGATGGAGAATACTCTATAGCCTATGTTCATCAGGGTTAATGTAGGATTCTAAACGTGAAAGAATTTTTCAAATCGGTCCAGTAGTTTTGGAGCCTATTCAATACAAACAAACAATCAAATCTTTCCCCTTTATAATATTAGTATAGAAGATCTTATAATATCAATAGCCCAGCAATTAAAAATCGATGGCGCAAGTGGCTAGTACGTTATGCAAACTTTAGCGATAGTCCGTCATTGGATAGACGACCAAAAATTTATCATCACGAACTCTTCCGTACTTCGTAAGGCACATTAAGCCGTTGGTCCCGGCTCCATCTGCAGTGGGTAGCATCCACCAATCTGCAATGGGCCTGTGAGGTGGGTCACAGCTCAGTCTCGCTAATCTATCCATAGGGAAGGCCTGTGCCCCTGCAGTGGGGACATTAATAGGCTGATGATGATGTTTACAAGGTTGAATTCAAATATTGCAAACCGAATACTTATGGAAATTTGTGTACAAGATTATCAGGTACCAAAGACCGTCTTTTTATTGGAGCAATGGTACTTAAAGTTTAATACAATGATAAATTTTTAAAGTTTAGGTCCCAAGCTTATTAACTTATTCCAAAAAATTCAAAAATAAATATATTCTAAGAAATGATAAATCGCCGTTTGCAACTCAATTAGGTGTAAAAATTCAACATTGATTTTGGCATCGGGACAAACTTAACGGTTACTTTCAATTTGGAATATCGCCAAGTTAGGACATTACGCTTTTTAATTAACGCTCTTTATAGCTTGGTGAAGAAATTTCGAAATACTCCTGTTATTAACAAAGTCCAGATAAAGTTGCATATTAAATCGTCCGTCTGGAGGACTTCCGTTGGATGACTAAACAAATATCCGGTCCGGTAAAGTATTTGAGTATTTATGTTCGCCTATAAATTAAATTTCTCTTATTTTATTGTTTTCCGTTTAATTTTATTTTCTTTGCCTTTTCGTCTTCTTCTTATCAAATTATCAGGAAAACTTTTGCCTTGTGTTCCGCACAACCTCCCTTACTCACTTACCTTATTTTATTTCCAGCTCATTGGGTTGTCTGGAAGAAATCGCTCATTAGCGATAAGACCGCCCTTTGTGCAATGTTGTATGTTTTCTACTTGTTTTGTATCTGCTTGTTTTGTTACTTTGTTGTGCAATAAAGAGTTTTTATCTTATCTTATCTTAAATATCTAATAACATGTTTGGATTGACTTTAGGAATTCGTTACAATATCAAAAGCAAATAAAGAAAAAAAAAATACTGTTCTCAATTAATACTGCATAATTTGACTAACCGCAGATTGTATTTTTCTTCTTAATGTTTCTCCATATTGTGCGAGATAGATTCACGGAAACGAGCTAGAACTAACTTTTTTATTACTGGCGGGAGCAATAAGGCCAGGAATGTGTTGTCGTTACTCCTGCCAATGGCAATACCCTTTCTCGTGTGTTGCAGTTATTGATCATTCTTTTGTGGGAATATGTGTTATATTGTGTAGGTAAGAAAGCGTTCCTACCTCCCAACCGTGATCAGTGGAATATTATTTAATATTTATCATATCATCACATTATTATCAGCGAGAGACGCCCATTGCTGGACATAGGCCTCACCCAAGGAATTCTAAGCCGAACGGTCCTGCGCTGCCCACATCCAGTGTTATCCCGCGACCTTCACCAGATCGTCGGTCTACCTTCCGGGGGGCTCTTCAAAGCTATTCGATTCTATTAGTTTCAATACGAACCACCAACCGAAACCCTTTTTAATACATTCTGTTAATTCAATAACTGATTTCTGGGGAAAGTCATTAAATTCGGCTATTAAGACAACAAAAAAAATTGAAAGTTGATTATTCCCCGCCAGTATGTTTCCGGCAGAAACACTGCACGCAAAGGAATTTAGAAATAGCTAGTTTAAAATAGCTTACCTTCGCAGGTGGTGAACTCGAAGGTTCATCAAACAACGCCCACACTTTGGGCTTGAGTCTTTGCCACACACCCAGCTCTCCAGCCAGGTAAGCCTCTTCATATCCAAAAAGCCTGGCGATTTCCTCCTCTGAAGGCTTTTCGCTGTCAATGTCCAACTTATCCAAAATTGCCAAGGTATTCTGTGGACAAACATTAAAATAAATTTTAGTCGTTATCTAATGGATAATACGGTTTTTAATTTTATTTATCTCAAAAAATTAAACACCACCACCAACGTTTGCTTTGGATTTATTTATTTTATTCAATTTATACATGCTAAAAGTAGTACCGTAAAGTGTGATCAATTTTAGATATTTCTCCTTACCAAGAGTTACAAGTATTCAGTACACTAAGGTCACGTTGTTTGATACATAGTAAAATGTGACAATAGTTAAAATACTATAAAGTTAAAAAAATAATTACTTGTTAAGATTTGACATATTCCATTATTCAAATACATAATTACGTGACATTAGTTATAGTCAAATCTAACTATGTTTCAAGCAACGAGGTCTGAAGTATTATCGTACATGTGATTCTGTTTGTAAGTAGGGTTGTAATGGTTCCATGAAGTAGAAAATTGTGTTCAGGCAGGTAAAGTGAGGATAACAGGGGCGGCCCGAATTTATTTCGCCTTATTTATCTCGACAACTGGACTCCCCTGGCCTTTGCATCAGCTGGGTAATTTGGTGCATCGACTTGTATGTATATACAAAATCATTATTTTGTTATTAAGAAATTAAAACACGAAATACCGAGATCATCATTTCAATTTTGTTTTTATTTTCTTCGTAAGCTTAATATAGCTTGGAATTGGCGTAACAAAAAAAAATTTCTTCATTCATTTTTTCGCATGACAGCCACCTGTCATCTTAACATTCATGTCTTCACATTGTGTATCGTCTCACTCACAATCTATTCATCTTTCTTTTTATCTGCCTCATTATTTTTAACAATCACTCCGTATTTCAATTTTCCCTAAAAATAAAGTATCAATTGTAACGATTTTATTATAAAGGAATATTTGAATTGTTACTGCATTTAAGTCCACAGTTAAATGCGTTGGCTGTACATATATTCCTTATTTAATGGATAAAATATCATCTCCTTTTTTATTACCTGTAAGAATTGATGATGTTGAAAATTACTGTTTGTACAATTTTTTTTTCTTCCTTGCATATTAGTCTTTCTCTCTCATTTTTTCATTATTACATTAAAACTTATCTGTACTATCGACATCACTATAATAAATATAATTCCATTACCAACATCATCCTTATGCTAACGTAATGCGAGCACTAGCGAAGTTACGATATTGTTATTAAATGTAAAGAAAATGTTAATGGTGTCGATTCTATCATGATTCTCTAAACCTAAACTTAAATTTGACAGCAGTATATCCTTGTCATTCTCTATACAGAATGAAAAGGAGAGACTGATGTTAAATTTAGTTTTAAGTTTAGAGAATCACGCCAGAATTGGTACCATTGGTGTCGATTCTAGCATGATTCTCTAAACCTAAACTTAAATTTGACAGCAGTATATCCTTGTCATTCTCTATACAGAATGAAAAGGAGAGACTGATGTTAAATTTAGATTTAAGTTTAGAGAATCACGCCAGAATCGACACCAGTATGTACTTAAAAAAATCTTAAGAAGTTGCATATCAATCGCCATCGTCCTACTCTGAAAATGTTGTGGGCATATGACATATTCATACGTGGGCATTATTACGTGTTTGCTTGCTGATATTATTTTGGGTCGTTTTTGGGCATCAGACAACTCGTCTAGTTGAAATTCGTAACGTAGTCGACCGCAGCCAGCCCCCGGTGACGATGTGACCGGAATATTTGTACTTTTCGAATGAAATGGCAACGCGTCGGTAGTAAAAATTGTGGTAAGATATTATTACGCGGGACGTGGCCATGAAAAAATGCTGAGCGTCATGAAAAAAATGGATTTGTTGTAAAGTAGATGATAGTGAAAATCCGGTGAGCTTGCAAATAAAAGATTCCATACCATCGAAGGTCAAATATTTAAAACACAAGGTTCGTTAGGATCAAGAAAAATATTAAAAAAAAGGCCTCGTTGTATCTTTAATTATAAGAATTGCACTATCTGTAAAAAAAAAACATCTCCTACCTTTTAAGGTTCATGTGATAGATAAGGTCGGACAAACAGCAGAGGTTAGGAAAATCACCAGTGCTTGCGAGACAGAAAATTAGCAAAGTTAAATTATGATGAATTTTGTATATTAATTTGTAGACGTTCAAATATCTTAAGTCAATCATTTTATACTATTAAAGTAAAACGTGAAATAAACTTGAGTGTGAAATATTTTAACTTTTTTATCATAAATCAGATAGAGATCATAGAGTACAATGATTATTTTTGCTTCAAAATTGTTATCGTCGGTTTTCTTAAAATCCTTGATATCTAATGGATCGTTATAGTTTATAGTTTAGTGTCACCTAAATGTTACGTTAATTTGGATCTTTGAAATAGTTTTATGATCAAACTGTTTAAAGTTAATGAAGATATTATTCTCATCATTAAGCAGGTTACTTTGATCAGCCCTCGGCGTTGACGCGTTATATAGCGTAACCATGCCACAGATAATGAAAAGCTGCTAGTTTATTATGGATGAGATTAAATCGTTAATGAGTGCTTTGCAAAATTTTAAAACAATTTAATAGTAACGAGAACTCCTATATTATAATCGATTAAAGTTTAATCGTGATGTCTTCATTGTCATGACTATCATTTCATAATGCTAAGCTAAATAGGAAATCAATGATCCAGTACTCTTTTTAAGTTATTGTATAGTTTTTAACAATTTAACTGCTAAATTTATTAATTGAAATATTTCTGTTTCCTAAGAATATATGCTTTCACGTCAAGGTTAGTGGGGAAATTTTCCAAAATCCCGGTTTGCTTATATCCTGCCCTAAGCTAAGTAGAGTTTGAACTATGAAACGTAATTATGAATCGGGGCTGTGATAAAATATAGAAATATCGGTATCGATTGTGGCATGATTCTCTAAAGCTAAACTTAAATTTTACAACAGTGTATCCCTGTAATTCACTATACAGAATGAAAAGGACAGCCTGATCTTAAATTTAGTTTTAAGTTTAGAGAATCCTGACAGAATCTACACCAATATCTAGCTAGAGCGAGTCATCGCAAGGGAACCATTTGTAGCAAGAATGCGCCATATTTGTCTACCTGTGTAACTAAATCCACACTAATCCTTTTAGGTGTGACTCGGTGACAAACTAGCGTGCGTAGGTATATTTGCCTTGTGTTTATAATTAGAATTACGTACGGTTATATCTACAATGTATGTTTTAATCAAATAATAACGTTACTTTGTAATGTATGGTTTAGCTGGTATCCCAAAATCCAGGCATACTTAATTTACATAATGTTGAATTTTCAGTTACTATTATATACCTCTGACCAGCCTTGTTCTGCTTAATCTGAGGCTACACTGTAAAAAGCCTCGCTTGGTGCCAAGTTTAGATGCATGTGTCGAGGGATAATTTAATAAATCTAATATTTGTGACCATCCTAGGGATTTTACGAAAACCGGGATAATTAAACAGTGGCGATGACATTGCTCAATTTTACTAAAAAAAAGGAAGGATTTAAGGGAAAACGCGAGTCGCCTCAGTAAGATTGCGAATCATCCAAATTATTTTCTTAATTAACTAAAATTCGTTATTATTTTCGCGATATTTCGATTTATCAAATTATCCTACGACACAAGCAAGTGAACTGATAGTTAACAAATAATACTGTTTCCTAGTTGTAGAGAATTTTCTTGTATATTATTTTTCATTATTTACTAGTAGTAAATTGTATTATAAATATTTGAAATGAAAGAAGTGTAATAAAATTTTATAAGCTAAATAAGTAGGTACTTAATGATATTCTATGAGCGACTAGTACATTGGTCGCTCTGAAATGTTAGTCTACGAGACTTCGGTGTAAATATATTTGGTATATCACTTATACATATGTTTGGTAGGTATATTACACATAAAGTATTTTATGGCCATGAGACCGTTTCGAATGTTTCTGTCAGGATTGTGCACAATCCCGGGTTTTCCGGGACAACCCGCAACTGGAGATAAATTTTGATGCGGGACGCGTGTCGTGCCGGATGTCAATAGATATAAATAAAACATTTATAGATAGTTCTTAACTATTCAAGAAGTTTTTGGGATTTCCGCATTCGATTCCACGTTAAGAAAAAATCGATAGATTGAATTATGATATTTAAATCTAATTTGCAACTTATAATGCGATTCAAATAAGAATAGGAAAGCGAATGACCTCTATCTGTCAAATGTCGCTTGAAAAGTACGGTATGTAAAAGAAATCTTGGAATCCTTTTTAAGCACTTCGCTAATTCAAGAATAAAAACCAAACATTAATAAACAAACAATAACAAATATTAATAATTAATATCATGTTCGTATGTGACCTAGTGCATGATTATTCATAACTACTCCGGCATTACCGCCCGCAGAGATGAGCGGAATAGAAGAGCTAGATTCTGATTAATGTTTTTTCTCAGTCTTAATAAATAAATATTTTTATAACCGGTGTTTTTTGCTCAATATTAGTAAATAACTGTTATTAAAAAATCAGATGCTTTTTCTCACTTAATCTTAGTAAATAAGTTTTATTAAATAAAAACTTTTTTTTTGCTCACTCTACCTATTTAGTTTGAATTGACAGTTATGACATCACAATATGGCGCCCAGTCGGTCCTATTCTTAATTGAATCGCATTATATACAGGTTCCTGCCAAATTGCGTTATGACATATAGGCCTACTGTATCCTGTGTGATACAAGTGCGTTATGGCCAAATATTGTAATCAAATAAAACAAAACACTGCATTAGCGGCTACAAAAATAATAAATTGATACATAAGTTTAATTTATATAGTAAATACTTCCAAAATTATTCCAAACTACTATAACGATAATGAATCCATGATGATTTAAAACAATACACTGTTTCTGCGACTTTCAGCGGCATTCATCAATAAAAGAATAAAATATAAAAATTAAATGATTAAGTGAAGTGAAGCTTAGTAGTAATATTAATTAATAATAATAATAAATATTTCCAACACTCACACCAATTAGCCTAGCTCCAAAGTAAGCTCTGTAGGCTTGTGTTATGGGATACTAGGATAACGGATAGAATACATATATTGATAGATATATAAGTATATTTATATAGAATTACTTAAAAAACATCCGTGCCTGGAGTACAAATGCTCGGAAATGTTATTTCTTGTTTGTTGTTTATGTTATGTAAAACTTTTCTTTAGATTTAAATATCTAGCAGTTAAATGCTTGATAAAAATAAAAACATAACTATAATTGCTATTTCTTCTTTCAAATGTTTAATACTTGAAAAGTATTCATTTGACACATTCTTACAATGCGAAGAGATGGCGCTGCCTTGCAGCTTAAGGCTAGGAAAATTTCGACGCGGCCATCAGGGCCGTGGTAGCATAATTGGTCAGTGCATTCGCCCGGATTGTGAAGGGTGCGGGTTCGAGTCCGCGAGGATTTTTTTTTGTCGTAAAACTTTTCTTTAGATTTAAACATCTAGCAGTTAAATGAAAAATAAAAAGATTATATATTATTTAAAATTATGTAACTGAAATTAAAAATATATCAAACGCTTAATAAAATTATAATCAAAGTTAAATTAAATTTCTGTCATTCGTCACAAGAACAACTAGTCAGCAAAAAAAATCAATGTCACCTAAAAATATTTACCTGATCCAATTCCATTAAAACTTAAGAGGGAAGGCGGGCATTGTTTTTTAACTCTAAAGGAAAGATTTTCATACATAAAATATAACTTTACTCATTCTATGCTCCTATGTTTTTCTTTTTTCGATAACTTGTGTTTCAAAGAAGCTAGAAGGTCTCAAGAATGTCGAAACTAAACAAATTTTTGGCACCAATAAAGACGTCTAGTGTGGAGATTCGATAAGCATTTACAAAAAAAGCTAAAAAAATATCTCTACGTTTTGCTTTTTTATAAATGTTTACCAGGCCACTGGTCTAGTATAGCGACTTATTAAAACAAAACGACGGGTTGCACTCCGGGAGTGCCGGCAGAAGTGAAAACTTGAATATTAACGT